CTCAGTCTCCCCGGGCGCCGCGGGGCTCTCTGCGGGCACTGAGGAGCAATGTCCATTGCAGAGGGTCCGGCTGGAGCCGCCGTCGCCCCTCGTGGTACAGCCCGAGGAGGCAGTTCCGCACCTTCACTGCCCTTCGCTGGAGCACTTCAGAGACAACTACCTCATCCCCCAGCGGCCGGTGGTCCTGGAGGGAGTCATGGACCACTGGCCATGTATGAAGAAGTGGAGGTGAGAAGGAAGTTTCTTCCCTGACCAAGTAAGGGCACAATCATTCCCTGTGTTGGGGCACCTTGATGCTCAGTAGAGCTGCAGAGACCTTGGCAGGACATGGACACTGTGGGCAGTGAGTTTTGCTGACAGCACATTACTGCTGCTCTGCATTGGTGGGGGAAGTGCATTGGAGCATCCAGAGCATCGCATGGCAGGTGCTTCTCCCAGGGAGAAGCTGAAGCTGTGCCCAGCCTGTGGTTGTCCCAGGGGAGAAGGCTGCCCACTCTGCAGCTGTCCCAGGAGCCTGACGTGTGTTGCTGGTGCTGTGTGTGTTGCTCTGTTGGGCACTCGTGAGGAACACACGCTGCAAACTGCCAGCGAGCTGTGCAGAGCACAGTGGGTTTGTGTACACACGTCAGTGATTTTTACCCCTTGGAACTTGCCAATAGTTAGTGCAATGGAAAGTGAATCTTGGGGCCGTGAGTGAGTGTGATTGACTTTTCAATTCACGGGTCCAAGCACCGATGGTTGTTCAGTGCTGTGTTGGAGTGTGGAGTTTCAGGCACCACCGTTCAGGAGTGACAAACAGCATTGTGCTGCCTGGATAGTGTAAGCAATGGTGCCCACATTTCCAGTACTGAACAAGTATTTGTGAGGTGAAGCTCATGGTTCCTTAGAAAAGAGAAAAAAACCCTCATGCTTAGTTTGAGCCATTGGTTTCGTTCTACAGCCAAGGGTAAAACTGACATTAAGTAAACACACTTGTTACTTCATAGCGGGTTTATTCATTTTTGAGGAAAGATACTCCACTGGTTAACTTCAGACACTAAAAAGATGAACTCCATTTAGTTAACACCATTGTCCATGGAGAGATGTATTCCACCCATCAAAGTAATCCCTCTGGCTGCAACCAGGATGGTATTATTGGCGCCTGTATACAGAATTTCACACTGACAGAGAGTTTATCTAGTATTAATGGTGAAAAGATACAACATTTTATTTAACAAACGTGGCAGCAGGCAGCAAAAAGATTGGCCACCCCTCACTGAGAGAAACTAACAGTTTAAATCTCCTTCGCTGGTAAGGAAACAACAGTGAACTGAGGTAAACAAGGTTTTGAACCAAAATAGAACAGACAGGTGTGGGATAATGTACACACAAACCTGCCTGATTTCCTTGCTGCTCACATCCTTCTCTGCTGCCTGTTGTCTCTGGTTGGTTAGGTTTGGAGGGAAGAAACTCATGTAGTAGAGTTTTATTACCTACAAGGCTGTGTTGGATTGAACTGGTGAGAAGAGTGGTACAGAAGGTAACAGAACTCTCTTTGTTGCAGTGTGGACTATCTGCACCAGGTCGCAGGGTGCCGCACGGTCCCGGTGGAGCTGGGTGCCCGCTACACGGACGAGGAATGGTCCCAGCAGCTCATGACTGTCAGTGACTTCATCAACCAGTACATTCTGGGTGAGGTCTGTCACGCTCATTCTGCTTCATCTCTGTGGTGCCAGCACAGACGGTGGTTCTGCTTACAACAAACATGCCCAGAGGGGATGCTGAGGGAGGGGAGTGCTGCAAGCACAGGTCTGAATTAAAAGGTTTGACGTATTTACAAGACCTGAAGCTACAAATAGTTGTTGCAACAATAGCTAAGTTTGGGTTTTACATATAATCGAATGTACAGCAGCTGGAATGTGAGGGATAAATAGGTCTGTTCTGCAGCAAAATCCTGACTGGTAGAGTCTAAGGATAAGGGTTCCTCAGCTAGCAGTTTTGTTCTTGATCATTAAACTGCTTGGTAAGATTTAGGATCAAGATCCAAATGCACATGCCACGAGGCAGAAAAATAAGTTGATTAGCAATTGGAATGTCCTTTTGCTTTCGCAGCTGAGGATCCGGAGCCCTTGTGTCTGTTTCCTGGCCTTCTGGCAGGAAGGACTTTGTGCCATTGCAAACTGGTCTGTGGTGCAGCCTGGAACAGAAAATGGAGTAAGGAGAACTGGTCTGTGTGCCAGCAGGGGCTGGCTGTAAAGATGCAGCACATTGTCATGGGACTGACAGAGCTGTGGAGATTCCTTAGGGTTACAGCTCAGCTTCCTCCAGTAACTCAAGCTAGATGGTTTGTTGACTGTGGAGACACATTTACACTCTCTCACTTTCAGTGGAGCTGTAAGTTGCTCTTTCAGCAGAACTGCTGAAACAGTTATAGTGCTTACACAGGACACTGGAAATGGATGTTACCTATAAGTGAATTCTACTGGCCTATAAGTAAAGTAACTGGCTGAGAAGTCTTACATTACATGTCACTATGTGTTTTTTCTCTCTTTGCTGTCATTTCAGAACAGTTTAGGATACCTTGCCCAGCACCAGCTTTTTGATCAGGTAAAACTGAGTGAATGTTTTTATCTTCCTGCAGTCAAGTGTTCCTTTGCAGCACAAGTTGTCTCTGAGGATGTCAGCAGTACTAGATCAAAGGGCACACAGAGAGTTCACAATGATTCTTAGGATCTGAAGGAGCAGAGGGAGGGGTTTGTTCCATTTGCCTAAAAGACATGGGAACAAAACCCTTTTGGGATGAAGACGTTCAATCCAATGTAGCATATGCTTACAGAGATATCACCCCGAAAGCAGCATTTCCCCGAAGACTATGTAAGTCAGGGAAGAGATTTGAACAGGAAAGTGTCTTCAGTGTTGATGTGTTCACCATAATCTGAAATGTCATTCAGTTTGCCAGAGTTTAGTTTGGTGGCAGATGTAAAAGGAATCTCACAGAGAAGCTTAGTGTGAGATCAGCCGCTCCTTTTCCACAAACAGCAAACCTGCTTATTCTTTTGGGTGTCTCTGGTTTCTGCTAAAACAAAGGGTCTCTGAAGCATGAGAATCCTTCTATTCCCACCTCTCCTTCCAACAGAATCTGCTCCCTAGGACAGAAAGTGTGAGGACATTTCCTGCAGGTTCCTAGCAGGTCAGACAATTCTCTGCTGCCCTTGCTGGACAAACAGGTCATTTGTGTTCTTTGTGTCAAGCCTTGGTCGTGTGTTCCATGAATTACATATGTCTGGAAAGTCAGCACAGACCCTTTTTAATGTTTCTTTCTTTCTGGAAGTAGATCCCAGAACTGAAGGAAGATATCAGTATCCCTGACTACTGCTGCCTGGGGGAAGGGGATGAAGATGAGATCACCATTAATGCTTGGTTTGGTCCAGGAGGCACAATCTCACCTCTTCACCAGGATCCCCAGCAAAACTTTCTAGCCCAGGTCTGTACTGTAGTTACTCTACACATGCCACTAATGCAATACCTAGAAAAAGTGCTTCTGGTATGTGTTAGAGGCAAGAGGAGCAGACAACTTGAAGAACAACTGAAGGACAGAGAACATACAGTTCATGTAGTGTTCAGGGCAGACAGGCTATTTGCCTTGTGAATTCTTGTCTCATTTCAGCTCTCCAATGAAAGAACTGATTTACTGATCACACACAGAGAAATAAGAATTGAGGACTGTATGGAAGCTTAGCAGTCACTGTGCAGGTACCTCTGCCTGCTGATGGGAACTGCAATGAAGATTCAACCTCCTTATTCTCAGTTCTGCTTTCTAGCTACATAGATCCCAAATAACAATGTATAAATTGGGTGCCTTAAACTTTGAATTTAAAGTAATTTAGTTAAAGTCATGTCCCTCCTAAAGGTATTTCAAATCCTTACCTGCTCCAAGGGAACAGGCACTTGAATTCCAGTAGCCTGATTTAACTTTCCATTGTAGCAGTGCCTGTTTATGACTAACAAAGATAATGATGCTCCTTGTAATCAGGTGTATTTTACTGTTCAATGCCAGCTGTGCCCCACAGCCTCCAGCAATGCACCAGTTCATGACCCGTGGAAAACATTTATTTTGCTATGCAGGTATTTGGAAGAAAGTATATCCGTCTGTATTCACCACAGGATTCAGAATACCTGTACCCACACGAAAGCCAAATCCTTCACAACACTAGCCAGGTAAATAGTTGCCTGAAATTTCACTATCAGTAATGTTACCTTATCAAATCGTATTTGAGTAAAGACATTCTGCTAATGATTGATTGGTTTTATAGGTTGATGTGGAAGATCCTGACTTGACCAAGTTCCCCAACTTCACAAAGGCTGCATTTCAGTCCTGCATCCTGATGCCTGGACAGATCCTGTTTATCCCAGTGAAATACTGGCACTACGTGCGATCGCTGGAGCTCAGCTTCTCTGTCAGCTTCTGGTGGTCATAGCTCTAGTCTGCAGCACTGCAATAGGAATTAACAATCAGGAAAGGAGCACCTAGCATCTTCTTAGGAGAGGTTGAAAGTGGAGCAAAATAAGAAAGGGAGAAAGAATCAGGATGGGTAAATGGAAAGATGCTGCTCACTTTATTTTTGTGGATGTTTTTATAAAGAGCATGTGTTAGGTCCTGGTCCTGTGTGCCTGTGTCCCTTGGGTACAGCCTGTGCACTGCCGGGACTCTGCCTCAGCCTCAGGGCAGGCATCACTGTGAAGGAGGACAGGAAGGCAACAGTAGTTTTATTGTAAGATTTTTAAAACTTCAGAAAATAAGTACACTGAGCACTGTCACTAATGGATACAACACAGTCTGGCTCTTCTGCCAGAGTGGGGAGAACAGCTTGCACTGGCATCAGGTTTTACTGGCACCGCCTAGAGCCCAGAGTGGACCTCCTCTCTGCTCTTGGTTTTGATGGTGACTGGGACTCCATCTGACTCGTACCTGTAGAAAACAAGAGGAAGGTTAATGGATGACACACAAAACCAGGATAATATTGTGTAACCTCCTGATTTTTAAATGCTTTGTATATTCCTCAGTTGCTGTTCACAATGTCACGTTCCCCTGGAGAAATGGAGGAATTCCAAAGAGATTGTGCTCCTCTTGGAAGCTCAGTGTTTCCAGAAGTCTTAGTGTCATAGGCTGTGTGTGTCCCTATTTCCCCTGCTCCTTAAGGTAGTTAGAGACAACAGGCATGGGGGTTGCTGTGCCCCTGCAGCACACTGTGGGCACTGTGAGGGCTCAGTGTACCCATGTGTGGTTTAGTGTCTGAAATGTACAGCTGAACTCAGGAGTAACTGATACTCAGCTACACTTACAAGTGGTGCAGGCAGTGCCACTGCACATCACAGCCCATTCATTCCCTGGTGTTATTACACAATCTTAACAATAGGCTGCTTGGTACCTGGGACGTCGTCACAAGACCAGAGTTCATTACACTGTGGACAGCGACGCTCGGTCTGAGCTCTGAAGTACTTCCTGGTGCAAGGTAAGTGCATTGCAATGCCACAGGATTCACATACTTGGCTCTGAAATCAGAAGTGTTGATTAAAAAAAAGCTGTCTAACCTGTCCTTAAATTTAAGAGGAAGTAATTACAAGGGGCAGCAGATACGTAGTGCTTTACTACAAACAGTGACAGGCTCAAGAGAATACAGCAGTCTTGGAAAGAAATCCAGGCTGTAACCACTTACACAAGACTAAGCTTAGCACATCCCAGCTATCACAGAATAGAATCACAGAACAGTTCAGTCCAGCTCCAGGCCCTGCACAGCACAGCTTCAACAATCCACCCTGTGCCTGAGAGCATTGTCTAAAAACTCCTTGAGCTCTGTCAGGCTTGGGGCTGTGACCACTGCCCTGAGGAACTGTTCCAGTGCCCAAACACCTCTGAGGGAAGAACCTTTGCCTGACACCCAACCTACCCCCCCCCTGACACAACTTCAGACCATTCTCTCAGGTCCTGTCACTGGCTGCCAGAGAGAAAGTAAGTGCTGCCGCTGCACTTCCTTCCATGAGGAAGTTGTGTACTGCAATGAGATGTCCCCTTAGTCTCCTCCAGGCTGAACGGACCAAGTGAGCTCAGCTGTTCCTCACATACCTTCCCCTTAAGGCCCTTCACCATCTTTGTGTCCCTCCTTTGGATGCCCTCTAAGAGCTCAGTATCTTTCTTGTATAGAGTTGTCAAACACAGTGCTTTAGCATGCTGGATGTAAACACACATGTTCATTCCAAGGTCCAAACACAAGCAATTCCTGAACCTAATCCCAGGAACAAGGAGGAATCTGTGTTATGTAAAGACTGCTACTGGTGAGGCACCAAGAGGAGAGTGCTAACACCTCACTGCTAAAGCTGTTCCAGCATCAGGGTTCATCTCTAGCCTGCTGGTTTGAGCAGCAGACAGCACAACCAATGTTCCTGGAGCCACTGCTCCAAGGCAATTGTTTCTCTAAAGGCATTAGATAAAATGCCAACAATGATTACAAAAAGGGCTTTTAATATACATGAGCACTATGACCAGATTACAAGACTAGGATGTTTTAGTGCCTGCCTGACACTCAGTACCACAAAGCTCAGGTGTGACCACATGAGCCCCTGCAGGTACCTGCTGAGGCGTAAGGCAGACGTTACCTGGATGGCGAGGCTGTGGCAGATGTTGCACTTCCTGGCCACATCCTGGTAGTTGCTGAAAATGTACTGCTCCATCTCAATTATGCAGCGAGTATGCAGAGTGTATTCTCCATTTTTCTAAGGAAAAAAGTGTCAAGATGAGGAACTTCTTTCAATCCCTTTTACCTTTTTGCTGTTGCTAACCACCTCCTGGCAAGCACTTGGCAGCCACTTTTTCTGCAGTCATGAAACTAACATGCTGAGAACATGCAAAGCCAAAACACTTTGAAGTAGCTGAACTTATTTTTTCAGAGAAGCAGAATAAAAATCCCACACCTTTAGCAGAGATTTAGTCCTTGGAAGGTAGAGATGAGCAGGTATGCTGTCCCTAACAGAGACAGGCAGTTTGGGACCCTCCCTTTGCATGCTGGAGGACATTCTCACAGCTTCCAGCAAAACCTAGGCACTTGATGCTCAAGGTATCTTTGGAAATCCCTGCCAAATCACTTTAACACAACTGTGTGGCACAGGCTGCAGACCTATGGTGCAGTGACTCCAGCAGAAATGAGACTGAGGTCTCGGTGAGCAGCTGCAGTGTCCACATGGTGAGCTCATCTCCACTGCTCCCTCACAGAGCACAGGAGATGAAACCACGTGCAGAGGGACCCACACACTTCTGGTATTCTCAACGTTTGGCCTCACTGCTGTTCAGAAAGTTCTGCACACGAGTAACAGCACTGATGACCCTGAAGAGCTCTTGTCCAAAGCTGAAGGATGTCTGTGTGTCAGGGCTGCACACACAAACCCACCTGCCTCAACACAAGAGACTGAAACCATGTGGTCCTGTATATACCTGCCCAGGGACTTTCTCCTGATTCTACTACCTTTTCTGCAAAACGCACTGGAGCAGCAGTGAGTACAGACCCCACCAATGAATGATGGCAGAAATGGAAATAAGAACAGCTCCAGCTCCTGCCATCACATCCCTAAGAACATTGTGGCTGCAACACTTGAAAGCAGTTACCTCAGAGAGCCACTTATCCTCCACAAAAACTTTCAGCAGTTGTTCTGCTTCCTTTTTCTTCATTTTCTTTGTCTGAAGTTGGTCAACCAAGTTTAAAATATCTGTAGACGAGGCAAAGCCATTTTCTGATAAGATGATTAGGTCCATCTACCGAGAGAAACAGCACCAAGGATTAAATCCTGCAGTTAGACAGACACACTCTGCAGCAATGTGCTGATCTGCAGCAACTTTAGTCTCCACACATGTGAGAGCTACTACAGAACATGGCCTGAACCAGACCTGTAGAACAAAGGCCAAGAGCTGAAACAATCACTGTCCCCTAAGCAGGTTTGGTCTTTGCCAGGAAAGCATTTCCACAAATAGCCCTGTGCATGTGCCTAAACGAAGCAGCATTCAGGGACCTTGAGCACACTCAGCAGGGACAGATCTGCTGCTTTTATCCACTCTTGGTCAAGGTTCTCTCAAGGAAAACCCTCTCACCCTGGACAGCAGGGTGCCAGTCCCTAACTCCAGGGAGTGCTTCCCTGGTGCTGATTTCACCTTACCCATAACTGACTTCCCACAGGGAATCATTACCTGCACATACTTCCATCTCTGCAAACCCTGTTTTATTTGGGATGAACTAGGGTGAAATGGCAACTAGTTCCTGAACCACATCCCCACTCACTCAACTTCCATTCACTTTCAGCTGATACCTTGGTGCACAATGATTGACGAGGTGGCAACTGACACACTTACTGTTTTCCTGAACAGCTCCAGTTCTGTTTCTGAGTAGTCAGATGCCATTCGAGTTACTTCGGTTTCTGCCAGATTCACCTACAAAAACAATGAGCTGATATCAAAGGGCCATTGTGTTTTTACACCAGAAACTGTAAAAGATCCTCTGGGTAAAGATCACATCATCCTACCACCAACAGAAACATCTGGTTGTTCAGGGGCACCAAAGGGGCTGTTCCCTGAGGGACACTCAGCCCTTTCCTCACAGCCCTGGATGCCCCAGCCACACACCCTCCACAGCTCCTCTGCCTAGGCCAAGCCCTTAAACAGCCCCCAGAGCTGACATGTCACAGCAGGTTCAGTGCTGGGCAGCAGCAGAATTTGCATCATCAGTCTTTTCTCACTGTGAAAAACACTTACTGATGTTTCACACTCTTCTTGCACATGCTACTACTGTTTATTAGCTCAACTCAGCTGGCAAAATGACCCAGAAAGGCCAAAAGCAGCAGCCAATGTCAGAAAACCTCCTGCATGGTCTCTTGAAATTCCTGTATTACCTCCCCTCTGACATGCATCTTGTAGAGCCTCTTGGGAAGCTTCCCACAGCCACTCCTCAGGGACCCTTCGTGCTGGGCTGATTTTGGAGTAGGGGAAAAAGGAAACCAATGTTGGAGTGCTCTCAGTGCTTTCTAGTTTAGAATCTGTCTCAAGAAAGAAAGTCTGTGGGACGGAATCTCCCTTTAGCACTTAAACAATGTTCATGCTGAGAAACTCCAGCTTGCTGTCCTTGCTGCCACATCCCACTCCACACTCCTGGGCTGTGCCAAGTTATCCCCCCTTCCCCATCCCTCCAGCAGCCCCTCTGTCACAGCTCAGCAGGTACCTACTACAGCATAGTGTGCTCTGCCATCCTCCTCTGACATTCCCTTGCGGATCTGCATGAACAGAGGCTGCAGGTGGCTGTTGATGGTGCCGATGAACTCGTCCAGTTTGTCATGTGCATAGTAAACTAGAGACACATGGTGAAAAGCACATGCAGAGAAACATCAAACACCTCCTCACCAGGCTGATCTTTTTGTTCCGAAACATCTTTCCCAGGTGAAAGAGCTAAAACGGCATGGGGCACAGCCCAGACAGAGCTGTCCTGTTCCTCACCCCGGGTGCTGCTGTCTCCTGGCCCTCAGGGACACTCTGTACCCTGTGAAAACAGCACTGCCAAAAGACAAAGCGCTGCCTGTAAGTCTGAGCTGAGCAGAAGTATACTCATGGCTGCATTTTATCTTTCAGGAGAGACACAAGCCACCACAGCACGTAACTGAGCAGGGCGCACACACCTCTGTCGGCCTCGCAGCACTGCCGGTGCACCCTCCTGACCTCCGAGGCCTCCGTGATGCCGTTGGACATC